GTCTTTTCCTACCTCTATTGCAGCCTTCAAGGCTTTCATGGCACCTACAACTTCTGCATCGAATACCTCTGCTCCGGGAAGTGGACCGGAGCCACTTGTAACTAGCTTGCCTCCTTGGTATACTACATACCCCCAGGATGATTTTCCGGGACCCGATGATGATCCATCAGAGAAAGCGAAGACTGTGTTAGCTGGGCGGGAAGCTAACCACCGCTTTAAGCTTCCAGACCTAGCTTCATTTTCTCGACTACATGGAATCAATGCTGGTGTGCCACGTGGGATGTATAGCTTTCCGGGGCCTTCGGCTGTCGGAACTCGACGCACACTCATTTGTAGGCGTGTCATGTACCGTTCTGGTTGTCTAAACAAACGATTTCTTTGTCCCGATCTAAGACCTAAGCGTCTTATTGTCTCTTTCGGATCCTCAGCCGCCCGAATGGCTAGAGGGTGCCAGGCATCCATTCTTCGCATACGAGCTGCAGACCGCAGCATCTTTTGCTGAAGAATTATCGATGCCGGGGGTATTCCCACTTCACGATGAAGAGCAACATTGGGAGTGGTACGCCACGCTGGGAGTGCTACTCTAATAGCTTTCATTATCGTTTTTTCCAATAGAGATATGTGCCAGCCTACTCCAGTGCCGACTTCTTTATCTCGCAGTGTGTTTATTCGAGTGAGACCTGGCCACCACGCTTCTGCCCCGTATAGAGCTGTGCTCAGGACGCATGCATGTACCGCACGAATCAGAGGTCCGGGTGCTGCACCACGTTGAACTCCGTTTATATGTCGTAAGAAATGGACTAGACAATTAGCTTTTCCAGTCCATTCCTGTACATGTTGCTTGAAGTTTAGCTGGGTATCAAGCCAGATTCCTAGCCACCGGATATAAGGTGACGGTTCGATCCGGCGATCTTTCACCAAGATGGAAAGATCAGCCGCGTTGATTTTCTTTCTAGGCCCTCCTCCGGTCGCTAGAAGTTCTGACTTTGCTGGGTCAAAATCGATCCTGTGTTCTCTTGCGAGAAGGATAAGGCTGTCGAGGTCGTCTTGAGCTGCGGAGATAGCATCCGTCGCGGTTTCTCCAATTCTGACAATAGCTACATTGTCAGCATAACCAAACCTACTCGTTAGACCATGATCCTCAAAAATCACAGCAATGTAGAGCATGAAATGAAGTGGCAATAGTGGCGAGCCCTGAGGTACTCCATATTCCAGTATCTTCTCTTCTGTGATTCCACCGCGGTATTTGACCTGAACCTTTTGTTGGTAAAGAAATGTCTGAATAAACCGGCACAGGGATCGTGGCCAGCCTTGTTCTCGAAGGCGTTTGAGCTGTTGGTTGTGAAGGACTGCATCAAATGCACCTTGAATGTCGAGTGTGACCATAGCCGCACACTTACCACTTCTCATGGCCGCCTCAGCATCATGGATTACACAGGATGCAAGGTCGACTGCAGATCGTCCTTGTACAGAGCCGAATAGTTGTGGGTGAACAACTTGGTGACTTATCATCAGCCATGCCATTCTCTTACCAACTAGACGCTCAAGTCCTTTGCCTAAACTTGATAACAGCGAGATTGGTCGCCAACCCTTGGCAGTTGACAGATTTCTACCCGGCTTTGGAAGAAGCACAACTTCTGCCACCCTGAAGGCCGTGGGAAAGTAGCCGATTTTCAGACAGGCCTGGTAAAGATCTTTCACGAGAGGTCCTAGATGGGACCAACAGGATTTCAGTAACCGTACCGTTATCTTGTCCGCTCCCGGTGCCGTATAGTTGACAGATACAGTGGCGCTTGTCACATCGTCCAGTGATAATTCCGTATCCCATGGAATACGCTCCTCCTGTCCATTCTCCCAGATAGAGATGTCGTTCTCGCCGCTAAACCTAGCCAAGAGAATGTCTCGTAGCGCACTAGCTCGCTCTCGCGGGTCAGATAGCCACCGGTTTTCGTCAATCTGCAGGGGAGGGGGCTCGGCGGCTAGTCGAGGCTTAGCCCATCTCATGAGCTTGAATACCTGTGCGTCAGTAGTCACTGCCTCTACTTGCCTCTTCCAGTACTCTCGCTTGGCTTTTCGTACCACGGCTCTAAAGCTCTTGCGGGCCTCTTTCGCGAGGTCAGGGTTGTCTCTCGCTGCCTTGTACTCTTGCCATTCTGTGCGACATTCATCGGTCCACCATGGCCCAGTTCTTCCGCTTTCGATGGCTGGGACTTTCCCTGCAATCTTGAGCGCATCTCCAAGTGCTTGTAGGAGATCATTTGTGGAGTTTTCGATGTTGACGACACTTTCGAGAGGGCCAGATTTGGTCCATTGGCTAACGCATGGGCTAAATTCTTTCAAGTTGGCGTCGCTGACACGAATGTTCTTTACAATTCCAGAAAGATCTGACACTGTAGGGTTAAGCACGTTACCTTCGATGGTCGAGTGATCTGAGGTACAGTGGTAGCGGTTGGACACAGATGCTACAGCGGCCGTGTTGCTCCACGTTAGATCTAGGACGTTCCCATCCCTGTGCGTTGGCTCTCCAACAATGCTGACTAGGTCCATGTCGTGGGCTGTTGCCCATTCCATAATCTGGTTACCATTGCCGTACTGATTTGTTGTTTGCGGTTGCCAATGCTGTGACACAGAATTGAAATCGCCTCCAACAACCACTAAACCTCTAACTTCCCACCGGAGTAGGGGCTCCAAGGTTCCACTGGTGCCTGGGGCACGATATATGTTGACAAATGTCGGGCTGCCCATCTTTACAAAACAGTAGTCTGATGTTGGGCCTGGTGGCGATGGAAAGAATGGAGTCGCTTGAATGCCTTTCCGCTTGAAAGTGATCGCACGGGGCCGGACGTCTATTCCTCGAAATGGTATGTGACTGTTGTAGTCAGGGTGACTTTTTGTTATAAAACCCCCCTCTTTCTTTCTTGTCCATGGTTCCTGTACCATGACCAAATGTGCACCAGCATCCCATGCCTGCTGCAATGCTATATCCGTGTTTTCCCCACCTCTTCCGACATTCACTTGGTGAAAGTGGATGGTGTTGTACTTGCCTTTTGGTGCTTTTGTTGAGGGGTTTCCTAACATTAACACGACATTGTTGAGTCCTGGGCAATGACGGTTTCAACCGCCTTACCCTTCCTTTCAGAGTACGCTAGAGCAGCATGATAATCACGATGTCCGCGTTCTCTGATGATGTGAAGTTCTGCCGGGGTGCGGGGCAGAATTATCCCGTTTTGTCGTCTTGGCCGGGCCATACAGCTGCCCTCATTTGAGTGGTGAGGTCCCGCGCAATTTGAGCACTTTGACACCTTTGTCTGGCACTCTGATGTCTCGTGGGTTCCCCCACATCTCCCACATCGTTGGCTCCGAGTACAGGAACGCGTTGTGTGGAATCCCCAGCAACGTTGGCATTGCTCGATTGGTCTTCGGCGCGAGAAGGGAATTGCTGGTCCGCTCTCGTCAAAGAGACGAAACTTTGTGTTTGCTGGTTTTTGTTGGAAATGAACAATCCAGCTTGTTGAGTATTGTCTAAGCTTTGTTTCTGTGGGCCTTACCTGGATTGGTGTGGCGCCGCATACAGCCTGGCATTCGTTCTTCACCATATCGTTGGTGACTGGGATGCTGCCTTCAAGCGTCCTGATGTACAATGGCACATGAGGTACGATCAATGATGTCCATTTGGACGCTTCCTCAATCACGGTGTTGTCTTCCTGTAGGGAAGGTGCAATCCTCATGATTGTATCTCTCAATGCATCTGATGCGCATTCGAGAGCAATCCCTGACCTGACTGGGTACATGGAGGTGATAGCTGAGGCTGCTATCCCAGCCTTGTCGGTTATTATTTTCTTGATTGTAACTGGCGAGAGCTTGTGCCAGTGGTGATCTCTCCCCAATCGAAGGAACAGGCGTTTGTCCTCCTTTTGGGTTGTCTGTGGTTTCGGGTGGCTTGATGGAGCAGGCCTTCGTGGAACTTGCACATTTGGTGGTGTCGGTAACTTGGCCGCTTTACGGGCTACTGTCACCCAGGGCGAGCTGGTGTCTTGAGGCTTTGGGGGTAGAGCGTGGCTGTGATCCTCAACAGCTGTATTTTTCCTAGGCGCGACTGGTTTTGGAGTGCTTGCCATGGTGGGGGGCTTCTTACTTGGAAAGTTAGATGCTTCTACCTGATCTACTGCGAAGGCAGTGATAACAGGCGTGATGTTTTCCAGCAGAGTCGCGACAACTGCTGCTGCTTGTTTCTCTCCTTTGCTCTTAGCCCAGGAGTCGATTAGTTCTAGAAATTCCTGGACTATATCCAGTCTTTCTTTCCGTTGTTGTTCTGCTTTGTGCATTGTATTCACAATGCCAAGCAGGCTTGGGTGAAGTTGCCCTCCTGGATTGGAGGGCGTTGTCGATGACGATGCAACAGCTGGGGCCATTGCACCGATTGAAGATTCTTGTAAATAAGGGTAATGGGTGATGCGATGTGTTAGGTGTCAATAATCGGGTTTTGAAATGTCCAAAAATGTCGTTGAAAATGTGTTATTCTCCTTGATCAATGTTTTTTTTGTTTTTGTTTTGTTTATTTTGTCCTAAGCTAAAGCTATGTTTTCCACATTGGGTCAAGGACAGGCGGAGCCGGCAGGGTTCCCTGTAATCTTTCCTACAGCCTAGTTCGTTCCAACCTCGTGAATTGCTACCAAAAGTGCAGCTGATTAAACAGAGACGAAAAATTAAGAAAATCAAAACAACTCCGAAAAAAAAAACCAGAAGATTCCTCCATGTTGGACCCAGTCAATGTGGATCGACATCAATGTGTGGATATATGATGCCACTCAACAGAATATCAAGGCATCGGCATCTAGTTTGGCAGGGCAGCAGTATTGGACCATACAGCTACAACACATGTGAAGAATCCCATTGGAACCGAGAGGGATGGACTGTGCCTCAACCGCATGGACAATGTATATATAAGTATAGATAGAGACTGAAGTAGTTTTCTCTTCAGAATGATAATTTACATACTATCAACCACATAATTGCACCAGCGCCTGTTCCTTGATCCGTGACAGGTGTGTAGCACTGGTATCAAGAACTACATTTTCATTCTTTTGGTGACCTTCTGACACCAACACATATTCCTCCATTATCCAAGCGCATTCCTTGAAATATTCGATGCATTTATTGGGCAATTCATCTTCAGCCTTTGCTTTATCCTTACGCCGCTTAATTTTCTCCCTTATCATCCTAACCTTCTTTGCCTTCTCGGGGTTTTTTGATGCCTGCTTTGAATCGTCTGGAGTATCTATCCAGAGAGAACAGCCCTCACGTAAGTAACCTCAACGCTTCCAGCAAGCACAAGCCTTTTTGTTTTCGATTGTTCGAGGTGATGAAGATGAATCGCTTCTATGATCATTATTTACTAGGAAAACCATTGGCCTTGGATGCAAATCTCGATAGACAATGTGACGGTTCCACCCTAGATCATTAGATAGGGTTGTTATATCCACATTACATTCACTTCACATAAGATATTGCTAGAGTTCTTTGTTTGTAGCGCACAGACCAGCGTAGATAATGTAGAGTTGTAGATCTCTAGATACTTTCCCTTCCCTTTTACTCTTTAGTTTAGAATCTTTTGAATATAGTCTTTATCCAATTCGACTTTGTCATTTGTCAACCTGTGATCTCCTACGGCTCTCACATTATTCTAAACTCACGTCAACGCCTGGGAAGGCATTACAATTTCCTAATCTCATTGAGACTGAGATTTAGCAGTTTTTAAGTAAGCAAAAGATTGCGGTGAAACTTGCCATAACATTTAATTGTTAAAAGTGCAATTTCAGGGAATAATAAAAGCATACGATATTGTGGCTAAGTTTATTTTCCCACTCTCGAGATAAAGTTTTTTTTCAGTCATAAATATATACTCAAAACAGTCACTCACATCAAAAATACTCTAGTACTTCATCATGCCCGATACCACTCAAAAAAAAAAATCAGACTCTCTTGTCCAGCAGCCTCCATCACCTCATTCCGAGCACGAACTCGATATAGCCTACCAAGAAGATTTAGGGGAAAACGAACTACTATCCACCATCAATGCCCCATACATTGGTCGTCGAAAAAATAAGCCTCGTATATCTGAAGTTGATCGGAAGGTGGAAGAGTTGACAATAACTCAAAACACAATTGGGAAGGAAATGGCGGATGCTATTGTTGATAATGCCTACAGGCAAACTAGTAGGCATTATAGTATGGAACGCACCAACATACATCAGCAGGAGGAGATTAACTTTCTCCGGGAAAAATTAGACAGATTGGAAAAACTCATGGAAAGTCAACTCGATATGGAAAGCTCACAAGGCGGGGTATACCAGGAGCATAGGCAAAAAAGCCACACAGCCTTCCACCCTCAAAATACAGGATTAATGGAAGATATTGACGAAGAAATTCCACCCCAAAGGAACACACAATACACATATTTTCCCCATTCGCGTGAGCCTAAAGGGAAAATACCCACAAGAGGCGATTATCTCGAGGAAATGAAGAAAAGTAGCAACTACAATCCTCAGCAAAGACAGCAACACGTTGCGCAAAGCACTACTTCGGAATACAAAAATCGTACATCAACATCTCCCTTTAAACTCCGAAGTAACGAAGAGCCCAACTACCAAGGCCCTCCGTTTGCAAAATATCGAGATCAATCAGAAAGTGTCGGACAAACGTATGGAAATGCATTTCTTGGAGTGGCCGACCGAAAGATTGACCCTATTCGCGAGTTTGGGGGCTCCAATGATTTGAAGTTTTTTGAAAACTGGTTGATTTTGCTGAGAGGAAAGATAAGGGATAACGAAGGACATTGGGGCTCTGACGATCGCATAATGAACTTCATCTTCGCTTCGACTAAAGACGACGCACAAGAATTACTTGGGCCTTACTTTACCGGGGAGGATCCTGAAAATGACTTTGTCAACTCTGTCCAAATGGTCAATCATCTGATTGCTACATATCGAAGTAGCACTCTCCAGCGTGACAGTATGGTTAAATTCGAAGCTCTGCGGCAGGGATCTGCTGAGTCTTTTCAAGATTTCAAGACTAGATTTATTTCTCTAGCAGGAAAGGCAAAAATCCACCATTCAATGAGAAAAGATCAGCTCTATGAAAAAATGAATCGACAACTTAAGCTGGCTGTCTTTGCCCAATTACACTTGCTCCCTGACTTTAATTCGTTATGTCAATATGCAGACCCTGTGGACAAGGAAAGAATTAGACTCGAAAAGAGCATGGTAAACACCAAGTCGGAAAGATTTAATTCAAGAAGACTGTACAACCCCGATTCATCTACATATCAGTCTGTTAGTGTACCAGTCAGTCGTACCGACACGAAAGAAGAATCTTTACCATCCAGAGGGGTTATCTGCTACCATTGTAAGAAGAGGGGACATACAAAATTGGAATGTCCTAATAAAAGTTCAAAATTAGGTGGTCCCACAGTTCAAGTTGTTGCCATTGAAGAAGCAGACAGCGAACTTGATTCTGAAGGGGAATCACAACATTCCAGCCAGTTACAGGAGGGAAACGAACAATCCTAGATAAAGACGCCCTTCTAGGATATTTGGTCGACATTCAAGAATTAGACCTGGGCAAACTATTCTCAGGGAAGACATACACTTTGCAGTGTTCTCTATCATTTAACAATCAAATTGTCAAGAGTGTCTCAGTTCTACCCGATACAGGTGCTAGCGGATTTGCGTATATTGATTCGCGATGTGCAAAGGCCGTTGCTAAGTGGCTAGGCCAAACCCCAATTCATTTAGGTTATTCTATTCAATCGAAAGGCTTTGACGGAAAAAAGGGTCCAGTCATTTCAAAATATATTCTATTGTCATTATGGATTGATGATAGGCGTTTGGATAACTTGCCATTTTTAATAGTCGAATTGGGGACCCATGATATAATTCTTGGGAGCAGGTGGCTAGCACATTATGATGTCCTGATCGATTCCCGACAGCGCAGACTCATCTGGCCCTCTCACCACCATACAACACCAAGATTTTCATCTCCTATTTGCACTCATTTATCGTTGTTGATGAAAGACAAACCCAAAATCCTGAAAATTCATCAAAAGGATGTGGAACGTCGCGACAAATTACAGAAAAAAGAGGATCAGAGTTTTCACTTTGGCGCTTGTTCAAAAAAAAGGCCCGTGCACACCAAAAAAAGTTTGCATCGCAATTCCAGTGCATCATTTTACGAAACTGCGACATCAAATAGAGCCATCAACGAGCATGATAGCTGTAATGATAATAACAGCATTATCTCAAACGAAGAACCTCATCATGCCAACAAACTGCAATTGCTGTCCACGAACAAAATTAAATCGAATGAATCATGCAGCATAGATATTTGTGAAATAAGCGCTCCTGCTTTCCACTTAAATTTAGTACCAGCTGACAATATCTTTTTCTCCATTAGTCTCCATGCGATCGAACAAGAACTTGAAAATAGGACGAAAAAATCAAATCTAGATGACTGTCAGGAAGATATAGATGAATTACTGAACAAAGTCCCTGAAAAATACCACGACCTCATAGATGTCTTCTCCAAATCCGCCTCTAATGTTCTCCCGCCCCACCGACTGTATGATCATAAAATTGTGTTGGAGAATCATGCGCAACCCACATCAGGCCCATTATACCCTATGTCGGAAGATCAACTAAAGGCTGTCCATAAATATTTACTGGAGAACCTAGATAAGGGATTTATTGAACCCAGCAAAGCACCATTTTCTAGTCCAGTTCTATTTGTCAAAAAATCTGATGGGAGTCTCCGATTTTGCATCGATTTCCGAAAATTAAATGCGCTTACTAGGAAGGACCGTTACCCGCTGCCGTTAATTGATGAAACACTTGCCCGGCTAAACAAGGCCAAAATATACAGCAAGCTCGATATCAGGCAAGCCTTTCATAGAATTAGGATGCATCCAGATTCAGAGGAACTCACTACTTTCCGTACAAGATATGGCTCGTACAAATGCAAAGTACTTCCATTCGGATTAACCAACGGGCCAGCAACTTATCAGAGATATATGAACGACATTCTTCTTGACTACTTGGACGTTTTCTGCACAGCGTACCTTGATGATATTCTAATATACTCCGAAAACGAAATTGATCATAAAGAACACGTAAGAAAAGTTTTGATGCGGCTTCAGCATGCTGGTCTACAAGCAGACATCAAGAAATGCGAGTTTGACGTAACAAAAACACGCTATCTAGGATTCATCATTTCCACTAAAGGATTAATGGTAGATCCTGATAAAATTTCAGTTGTCAAAAGTTGGGCAGCTCCAAAGACAATCAAAGGAATTCAATCTTTTCTTGGTTTTTGTAATTTTTATCGTCGATTTATTGCCAGTTTCGGTCGTATTGCTAGACCATTGATTAATCTAACAAAAAAAGGTGCCACTTTCGACTTTGATTTGAATTGCCACAAGGCTTTCAAATTACTAAAAAATGCAATGACTTCTGCGCCACTTCTTTCTCACTACAATCCCGAACGATATTCACGTCTAGAAACTGATGCGTCTGATGGAGTGGTCGCAGCGGTGCTGTCACAGAAGGACGAACAGGACAATTGGCACCCAGTAGCTTTTTTTTCCAAGACAATGCAGCCAGCAGAGTTGAACTATGAAGTGCATGACAAAGAGATGCTAGCAATAATTCGTGGCTTGGACAATTGGAGGGCTGAGCTACAAGGATCCCCACATAAAATAGAAATTGTTACTGACCATCGAGCATTAGAATACTTCATGACATCGAAAAACCTCACTGCCAGACAAGCAAGATGGTCTGAAATACTTTCTCAATTCTTCTTCCAGATTATGTATCGACCGGGACGTCAAAATGCTTCTGCAGACGCCCTATCTAGACGAGAGCAAGACACGAACATTCAAGATGAAATCAAAAGAGAGATTCGATACAAACCTTTAATACAGAACCAAGATTTGTCAGAAGAAGTTGTTAAAGATCTAAACGTTTGTTTCCTGGAGTCATTCAAGGTTATTGATGCTGTCCTCGCCGCTAATAAATCTCATGAAAGTCTACAAGACCTCCGCCAAAAAGTAGACACTAATGAACATCTATCTATGGACGATGGCATACTTTTCTTCAAAGATAGATTAGTAGTTCCAATGGTGGATAACGTTCGCACGGAATTAATTCGACAGGTTCATGATCAATTGTCTAACGCTCATGCAGGTCGCAATAAAACTTACCAAGAATTAATATCAAGATATTTCTGGAATGGTATGCGTAAAGATGTAGAACGTTATTGTCGCAATTGCCATCTGTGTCGCACTAACCATGCAGCTCGAGATAAAACTCCTGGCCTGTTACATCCACTGCCCGTTCCAGATCGACCTTGGCAACATATTTGTGTCGATTATATGGATATGCCTAGGGATAAAAAAGGCTTTGATAAAGTTGTGGTATTTATTGATCGATTTTCGAAAGTCTCAGTTACTCTACCTTGTAAGAAGGATGTTACAGCGCGCGACACTGCTGAATTGTATTTTACTTATGTCTATCGCTACTATGACCTCCCGGACTCTATTGTCTCTGACAGAGGTGCCCAGTTCATCTCGGCTTTCTGGAAATACGTAATGGATCTTTTAGGGGTAGAATTGAGATTGTCAACTGCCTACTCTCCACAGACAGATGGGCAAACAGAAATCATGAATCAGTATATTACCCACCGCTTACGACCTTTTATTCACTATTATCAGGACAATTGGTCTGATCTCTTACCAGCTATGGACAATGCCCAATTAACACTTCCTCATGACTCTATCGGAATGTCCCCTTTTGAACTGTCTCGTGGCTACACGCCTAGAAAATTATACGACTGGAAAAAACCAGTAGCTCCAAAAAACGCAAGGGAAATCCTGGCCCTGGAGGATGCAAAGGCTTTTGCAGCTAAGTTACAAGAGACATGGAAGGTCGGACAACGAATTATGCGCCAAAGTCAAGCAAGGATGACAGTGCAAGCAAATAAGCATCGACGTGAACCTGATTTTGACGTTAACGACAGGGTATACTTATCATCAAAAAATTTGCGGCTACAACAATCGAACACGAAGCTGTCACCCAAATTTTTAGGACCTTTCAAAATTTTGTCGAAACAGGGTTATTCATATAAATTGGACACCCCAAAACAATGGTCAAACCACAATGTTTTCCATGCTCGATATCTAAGAAAAGCTGCCGATGATCCTTTACCAGGACAAATACTTCCTCAACCTGATCCGGTGAATATTGTGGGTGATGATGAATGGGAAGTCGATAAAATCCTAGATGTGAAACTTCTGAGGAATAAATTAAAATACTGTGCCAAATGGCTTGGTTGGGATGACGACCCACAATACTATCCGGCCTCAAACTTCAAGACTGCGCCAAATAAATTGATGGAATTTCACTTGGAACATCAAGATAAACCAGGCCCACCCAAATACTTATTAGAATGGTTGAATGCATGGAAACTAGGCATCGATAACTATAATGAGCTAGATGATGACTCACCAATGCCCACCAGCTTGAGGACAAGCTTTTTTCAGAGGGGGGGGTGATGTGACGGTTCCACCCTAGATCATTAGATAGGGTTGTTATATCCACATTACATTCACTTCACATAAGATATTGCTAGAGTTCTTTGTTTGTAGCGCACAGACCAGCGTAGATAATGTAGAGTTGTAGATCTCTAGATACTTTCCCTTCCCTTTTACTCTTTAGTTTAGAATCTTTTGAATATAGTCTTTATCCAATTCGACTTTGTCATTTGTCAACCTGTGATCTCCTACGGCTCTCACAGACAACTTGGAACGCTCGAAATTAAGTGATAGCTGATTGAAAACTGATCGAGAGATTCTTTAACGTAATTACCGTTGATACAGAGCCCATTAGAGCATTTGACGAAGTGGTTTAGGAGACGCCTCTTCATGCTGGAATGAGTTGTGGTAGCACCTTCAATCAAGTTTACTCGACCTCGGATCTCGGCGGACTTTTGCAATAATTCCATAACATCCACTCTGTTTTCAATTTCAAAGCACCAGATTATTGCATCAAGTCGTCAAAATCCTCACCCAAATTTGGACAATAGTGTTGTAGTGGATGTTGTACAGAGAAGCTTAAGCTGTTGGGCTTGTGTTTAATATCACCTAGTGAAGCGAGTTGGGAGATTGAAGAGTCTGAAAACTATAGTAGAGAGTTGTTGATTTAACCCAATTAGTATTATAGCGCTATTTAAACTAATCACTACATCTAAGTGAAGGGCACAATTCACTTGTTTATGCTAGATAGTTTGGAAGCTAGTCAATGTATGAGTCGTCATGAATGTGGCTAGTAATAATACAACCTTATTACGTTCTGTATTAATGCGACTCTTCATTACCAAGTAGCGCCAATTTCAACATGAGAGAATCGTATATTTTCCTATCTCTACTTTTAACAATGTAGTAATTGCACGAGCTAAAATATTTTGGTAGCCATCTATCCAGTGCGGGGTTTCATAACGTATTGGTGGGTGGTTAGTTGTATACCGTAGTTTGGCTCGCCATGTCTCTCATAGGGTTGATATATCCCCAAGTACTAAAGTAGAACGAACTTCCTTCTATATTTAGAGGACCTCTGCATACTTCAATATATATATATATTTCCGACGGACACTATTCATGATTACCCTGAGGAGGTTTAGGAGGCCTAGAACAGATATAAGCCATGGATGGGAAGTTTTGACAAATTTGAAATAATCTTGAGTAGAGTCACTGATGGTCGAGAGGTATTTTGTAGTTGAAGGATTATTGCTGCTTTATATTGAAATGTAAAATTTTCGTTCCTCCATTCTCTTGGTTTCTCTATCATGAGAACTTTTTGTCCCAGCAATCAAAGATTAGGAATCATCGCTACATACTAATGATCCCTGTGTTACTACCATTTGTAAACCATCTAGAACATTTTGAGAGATTGATGTATTTAGAAAGTGTAAGTATAGTCCTGTAAGATTATTGAATATGAAGCGTTGAATAGCACCATAAAAATTAGGGTTTTCCGTCTCTAATAAAGATTTCATGTTTCTGACTGATTGAACCTCTTGGAAAATAAAGTCATAAATCAATTTTCCATTATTTATCTCGTTACCAACTTTAGTAACCAGATACCAGTGGTCATGTTTGTATTTTTTTTTCCCAAAGATATGTAGATGACCTTGATACCAAGCTAGAGCTAGTAATCTCCCTCCTTTTGATTCGCCAATAAACATTTCACTTTTCCATATTTCTACGGATAGATCTACCGGGGAGTCTGCAATCATGATTGTTTCTGCATTATTTTCGTACGGAGCAAAACATTTGTATTTCCCTGTGACCCGCAAGTAGTTTTCCAAGGCTAGCCTGGCGATTATGCTAGTTGGGCATTTGTTACGGGCCATAAACTGAGCCATGGAAAGCGCTGGAACTTTTGAAAATAAATGATATCCATTTCTTATCCTGTAAAGACAGTAATTATATACCACATTATTCCCCTCAAAGTCCAGGTCTGCAGGTTCTATCATCTTCATCAAGTCAGAAGTGATATCATTTATAATGCTGTTCATGTCGAGAAATGGCGAACAATAAGACGTAATCAGTGTGCTCTCCTGAGATTCTCTAAACTGCGCCATCAATATATTACTACTTTTGGGTTTCGGAAAGCGCTGCGTAGGAAACATTTTATATATGCCGTAGTTAGCAACTTCCTCGTTTCCAACTAAAACCATCCGGTTTCGGAAAAGTGAATGGTCTTGAATGGTGACCAAAAATGCGAGAACGCAGGTGATTCTGCGCATTTTCTACACTGCTCAACCTTTGAGCAAAACACGTATTCGGGCTCTAATATCGACTAGAATTCACCAGGATGCTTCAATATTAAATGATATCGGAACTAATCAAGTTTTATGACATAGATTGGTATGAATCAAGCTGAGCACAGAGAGCGAGAAGCTCGTTAGATAAACGGCTGTAAATCTTATTCTGTCATAATAATTTTTTGAATACTTTTGAAGGTAAGAATCCGGATTGTAGAAACATTATACGATCGTTATTTTAGGTTCAATGAGAGAAATCAGATGATGAATTATTGAAATTTTTGACATCGTGCGGATAGGACCTATGAACGGTCGAATGGCCAGCCAAAATGACGCTGTGGGGCAAATTCGAGCTTCATTTCCCGAATTTATTCCAGTTAATTCATCTCAGACACCAATCAGAATCTCACCGAAATAGGTGTCAAGGCTTGCCTTTCCCCATTAGATTTTAATTGCGTATGCAGCTATCTAGCTATGACACAATATCAAAGAAAAGTACAGAAAAGATGACTCAATTTACAAGAGGAGCACTCATGCCTCGGATTTCATTTGCAAGTACCACTACGAAGTTATGGTGGCTTTTTCTTCACCCCAAGTCAACCCTCATCCGTGAATACCCACCCAGGGGAACGTCTCAAAAACTCAGAGTTATCCAGACATGCCTCCGTCATCCATCAACTTTTCTCCGCGCGAAATATGATCTGAGATGTCTCCTTCCCAAGTGGAGTAGGTGCCCAGGCTACTCAAACCATACCAGAGAACACCACCAGGAGGCGGACCACAACACCTTCCATCGTTTGCTCGTTTTTATAGTGTCAGCTGCACTCTCGCAAGCGAAGACTTGGCACGCACAAAGCTCAATTTGTAAAAACTCCTTGCCAAAATTCAAAATTCCACGCCCATCGAGAATGTATCCCTCTTCTGCATCATCTTGTAAACTTGTCCTGATCCCTCTCACGTTCATTCCAAAGAGCTACCTTCCAGATTCATGCTCCACGCTTTGCTTCCTCCGTCGGGTGTAAATACCGGTGTGGGCGTGTATTTGGTGGTCAATTGAGGCCTGAGAAAGTCGATAAGAGGTATGGTCATTGGAATGAGGTTGTACTAGGTCGTACTTGTAGACTTGATGAAGCTTAGTTGAGAATCGGACTCTTTGGGAGTGAAAGATGGACATGGTGGAATATTTTGAATTTTTGCCTCATGGGCCAACTTCTTTGATATTGCGAAATTTGACTGAGCTTGGCTCTGGGAGAAGATTTCACTCCCAGGTTCGTAGAGGACACCGCGTACAGGTGTTCAGTCTTGCCCTCCAAGGCTTGCCTTGAGTCTGGTATGAAACCTTGAAGTAAATTCAGTATAGTCATATAAATCATAGTTATGTTATATTAGGCTAAACATCTATGTAGAAAATTTGCTACATACTAGCTCTACGCTGCTAGTTCTCAATATAAATTATTATACAGATTAACTGCCTAAAATCTACTATTTATTATTATTATTATTTATCGTCGTGCTTGCTCACAAAACAACCAATTTTTTGGAATTCGAAATTTCTAATCTTCACTATTTCCCCCTCTCCCTCCCCTTCGCGCTCGTCGCATTCTATCAAAAAATTATCATCGAGTCACTGGCATTTTCACAATGCCACCTGTTCGAAAAAAGCGTCCCAACGCCAAGTTGGACAACACGACAGTCCACCCGAGGGCTCTCGAGCAAGTACCTGGCGTTGCCCAGTCTCCGAAATGCGCGGAGATGAGCAAGGGCTCAATCAAAGGGAAGGAAAAAGCCCTCCCCGCCGTCACTGAACCCGATACTGACATGATCGGGTCAGTCGAAATTGTTGAGGAAATTCCTCAACGAGCCTCCGTCCCCCACGGGATTGGAGAATCGTCCAAACCTCCTCCGACTACCTCGAAACCGTCGGAAAACGCTGCACCCATAGCAGCGTCAACATCAACGTCGCAGCCAAAAGCTGCCACGAAAGTAGAGTGTCCCCTCGAGCTCCGACCAATAGTCGAAGCTGAACAACGACGCGCCGTCGAAATAACGGCAAATCTGGCCCTCTGCTCCCTTTGACTAACGGGTCAAATAGACATTCGTAGACTCCATAAGAGTCTACCTACGCGCAGCCATTGCGCAATACATGGCTACGGGCCCGGCCACTACGCCACCCGTTCTCCCTCCTCACCCGACGAACCCTCTCCCAAGGGCTCCCAAAGCCAGGAGCAACACAACTCCCGCCGTCCCAGTTCTGCCTGTCAAAAGCACCTGGGCTACGGTGGCCAGAAACGGACTGCGACCAAAAGCAGTCCCAACTGTAAAGGCTGTGCCGCGACCTGCGGCCAAAGCCCAACAAAAAGAAAACCCCAAGGCGTAAGTCGACAAGCGACTGTTCCTTCGCCTTGAAAAGGACCACCCGTGAAGAAAACTGTCTACAAGTTGCGTGAGAAGCAGATTGGAGATGAGATTCCTTTACTTTCACGATAAAATAACCTCATTTCATCGAGTGAGGACCGGCTTTGCTATGCTAGCAAAGGACGAAAAAACACGACAAGAGATGCTAGATGGCTCTTCGACGCTGGCGAGTGAAAACGCCAAACTCGAGGCATCTCCTGATCTTGTAGCCTTACAGATACCGAACGTATCTGTAAGTATAATTACAGAGCGAGGCCCCATGGCGGTCGATTCTGAGTGGGTCTTCGACAAGAGCCTCGTCGACAAATTGAACAGTGTAAATGCTGTTTGGGCATCCACGCCACCCATGGTTGCTCCCGTGCTCCAGCCTGCTGAAACTGCGGATCAACTATGCACTCGGAGGCCGAGTGCGGGGCCCTCACTAAGTGTCGTAACTGTGGGGGACCCCACCGATCGGATTCTCGGGCCTGCCAAGTCAGACCTAAAAAATCTGGACCGGTGAAAAAAGAGCAGCTCGCGTGAATTCGCCAAATCGAACAAGGGGAGTTCGCGAAGGTGGCACGAGCCAGAGCTGCAGCAAAAAAGGCCGTAGATGCGATCATCGCCGCAGCGAAGGATGTCTCGATGGCCGAGGCAACAGGTTTCGGAGTGCTAGGATCTGAAGAGGAAGTTTGAGGACACAGCAATCTCGACGATGTCCCCTTTGGGGGCATCTACTAACAATTAGCAGGATACCGGCTGGATCAAAGGTGCCTGCTAACTCATCTCTTGCTCTCAGCGGAGATTAAGTAAATTTGTCATTTGGAAGGTGTGACAGACGACGGAATGTGTGAGGAGCACATTGACTGGGTCCAATATGGAGGAATCTTCTGGATTTCGGAGTTGTTTTGGTTTTTGTGACTTTTCGTTTCAGTTTAATCAGCTGCACTTTTGGTAGCGATTTACGAGGTTGGAACGAGTCAGGCTGTAGGAGGGCAAGACTGAACACCTGTACACGGTGTCCTCTACGAACCTGGGAGTGAAATCTTCTCCCAGAGCCAAGCTCAGTCAAATTTCGCAATATCAAAGAAGTTGGCCCATGAGGCAAAAATTCAAATTACTCCACCATGTAAATCTTTCACTCCCAAAGAGTCCGATTCTCAACTAAGCTTCATCAAGTCTACAAGTACGACCTAGTACAACCTTATTCCAATGACCATACCTCTTATCGACTTTCTCAGGCCTCAATTGACCACCAAATACACGCCCACGCTGATATTTATACCCGACGGAGGAAGCAAAGCGTGGAGCATGAATCTGGGAGGTAGCTCTTTGGAATGGACGTGAGAGGGATCAGGACAAGTTTACAAGATGATGCAGAAGAGGGATACATTCTCGACGGGCGTGTAATTTTGAGATTTGGCAAGGAGTTTTTACAAATTGAGCTTTGTGCGTGCCAAGTCTTCGGTTGCGAGAATGCGGGCGACACTATAATGTAGGAAAGATTACAGGGAACCCCACCGGCTCCACCTGTCCTTGACCCAATGTGGAAAACATAGCTTTAGCTTAGGGCCGATGTTAAATAAAAATAAAAATAAAATCTCAGCAGCTTGTTCTTCCTCTAGTTGTTTGTCCCATTAGAGCAATAGTCCCCCATAAGCCAAGACCCAGGCTTTGTATTTGTCGACTTGATTTCCTCCTTGCGGGTATAAATAGCGTCGTAAATTTGTAGTGAGGGATGGCTGAAAATTAATGGGGAAAGCTCCTGTTTGCAATTGGATCAAATTCTTTATTGGTCGTGGAGTCGAGATGATGCGTGGTTAGAGAGAAGTTGAGGACTCAGATGAGTATAGCAAGAGAGGCATTGTAGAGAAGTCGTCAAATGGAGATGTGCTTGAGGTTGCTTTCGACTTCGATTCGGATGCGATTCTTCTTGGCTATCCTAGATATGCAGAGCATACTGAGCCATTGCACTGGCACCACTGGAAGGTGACGAATTTGTCTTCGCCGACATAAGCACTCAGTTGAGTACTAGTGATACCCTGGCTCACTTACAGCACGACTCGAAACTATTTGACCCCTGGCGGCTCTGAGATAAAAATATCAATCTTTTAAAGTAATTCCACCTCTTAATCCAAACAATCTCCAGACTTCTTCGTAACTTATTACGGTCTCTTTTTTCATTTTCCCTGTAGCATACTTATGAGTATACAAAGAGACATAATGAGAAATTTCTGCATGCAATTAATCCTTGGCACAATTCCCTGAGCTCAAGTTTCACATCTGTTTTGGGGCAACAGGACAGGCGTGTAGTAAATTTGATATCACTGGCAGTACCTGTGGGTTAATGAGATTGTTGTAACATGACAGAAAGCCGCTTTTGTTATGAAATCTTTATATGGTATCACATGCTTTTACGTTAACTATTCATTGTCTATAACTTAGGTAGAAAGGGGGGAAGGAGGGCAGGGACTGGACACCTGTACGCGGAGTCCTCTACAAGCCTGGGAGTGAAATATTCTCCTAGAGTCAAGTTCAATCAAATTTCGTAATACTGAACAAGTTGGCCCTCGAGGCAATGATCCAAAGTACCCTAGAATTTCGACTTTTCACTCCCAAAGAGTTCGACTTCTATCTAAGTCTCATCAAGTCTACAAGTACGGCCCAGTACATCCTCATTCCAGTGACTACATCTCTCGTCGACTTTCTCTGGCCCCAGCTTGTCACCAAATACACGCCCACGCCGATATTTACACCCGACGGAGGAAGCAAAGCGCGGCGCACAAATCTAGAAGACAGTGCTCTTGAATAGACGCGAAAAAAATCAAAATAAGTTTACGAGCTGATGTAGATGACGGATATAAACTCGACGGGTGTGAACTTTTGAATTTTGGCAGTGAGTTTCACGAAATAAGCTTCGTGCGTGTGAAGACTTCGATTACGAAAATGCCGGTGACATTGTAAAAACGAGCCGACGATGGAAGGCTCGATGGTCGGTCATCTGGTGATGTTCTCTGGTATAGTTTGAGTATCCTGGGCACCTACTCCACTTGGGAACGAGACGCCACATATCACATTTCGCGCGAAGAGAATTCATTGGATTATGGTGGCATGTCTGGACAACTTAGGGTTTTTGAGACGCTGCTCTAAGTATGTAATTACGGAGAAGGATCGACTAGGGGTGAAGAAAAAGCCGCCATGACTTCGCAGTGGTACTTGCAGATGGAATCCGAGGCATGATTGCCCTTCTTTTAAATTGAGTCATATTTTCTATAATTTTTCTGTGATATTATATCACTACTATATCACTGCATACGCAATTTAAATCTGACATAAAAAAGAAGTCTCGACTAAAGGATAGATACTATTCTGCTGAACAGGAGGATTTTGCATATAAATAATGCGTTGGATGTAATACTAGTTTAGATCTTCAGTCAATTAATAAATTACTTTCCGACTTTCAAACTCTCAAGCCTATCATGCTTAGACCATCACATCCTGGGAAAATCCTTTGAAAGCCCTGATGGCTATTCATAATGGGCATTAAACTAGAGAAATTTTGGATGGTACGAGTCGTTTGAAAAATGTAAGGTGTCAGTTATTTCCTTGCTGCCTTCTGCTCTTCCTGCTCCTACCCAAATCGTGTATCTTTGGAAAAGTCTGTTTACTGTCTATTTCCTAACATATCCTCGTGAAATAACTAACACATATCTTGAATCGATACATCTCCAGTCTAAAGTTTGAGCCACCTCATCCCCATATCCCAAGCGCAACGTCTATATCCAAAACGAGCAACCCGATAAGAGGCATCAACTAGGCACCTAATTATTCTTAACACTAGGATTTGTCGGTTCCAAAATACCCATAGTTTGACAGTTTTTCATAGCAAAAGAGAATCGGAGCACTGTTCAAGGTGAGGCTTAGATCAGACAGGAGCCCGATATGCTAGAAAGTCATTGTCGTAGAGAGCACACTTAAAACAAATCCAACTAGAGTTATTAACTACTTAAAATCAAATCTTGCCCAAGGCAGGCTTTAAAGGCTTCAACTACACTAAGCCCGGATTTCTCCCGACCTAGATAATATTTACGAAGTTTAGATGATATTTTTCCATATTGCACTCCCAAAAATATTTATTCGCAGTCATTATAGGTCTATCCGAACTTGCTAATTCTAGTGCATTCGTATGGAGTAAGTCAATCCTTTGATCTATAATTGGATACACGTCTCTGAAAACATTGTGACTATATTGACTAGATATTGTATCAGTTTCCTTACTCATAGTAAGACTTCTAGGCTACAAATCAGGACCTCTTAAAGAGATATTTGACCTATTCGGATCATAGAAGCAACCTAGTTCCCCATTTATGGTTGTCATTGATAGGCTATCAAAGACATATTCGGAATGCCTCTTTTTGGAGCAGATCCTCAATTTCATCTTGGAGAATAAATTAGAATTACACTCTTGGACATTCCGAAGACTATTCAGTTTTTGCTGCTGTAGATTTCTATGCAGATTTTTTACTTTCTCAAAATTCTTTATAATAAAGTCATAGATAACTTGTCCGTTTTCATTCTCTGCGCCGACCTTAGTGACAAGATACCACCAACCGGCATTTCTTTCTCTCCGCTGGAAAATATGAAGGTTTCCTTGATACCATACAAGTGCGTGCACTGGTCCTTTGCCCTTCCCGATAAATGCTTGAGATCCCCAGACAATATCCTTCAATTTTAAACGCAAATCCGCATTGATAACAGGCACATGTCTAGTCAGGTATGGTGCAAAGCAATTGTAATCTCCAATGAGCCGTAGCTTGTCTTCACGGCCTAATCTTGTAATCTGTGATGGTGAGCATATTGTTTGTGTTACGAGTATATCCATTCCGATTGGGTTGATTTTGTTTTTCTCGGTTAGTTTCTTCGTCTCCCACCATTCCCATATTGTTTTTTTACACAATTCATATCCATCACTGCTTCTTTTAAAATCTAAGTCCTCAATCTTTTTCACCCTACTAAGCTGCTCTCCAAAGGATTGGAAGATCCTAAATAAACCAAGAGTAAATGAACAGTAGGATGTTAGCAATGTATTCTTTCTCGACTTTCTGTATGGCATCATAAAAATTTCTTTCGTCTTAAGAACGGGAAATTCCTGTCCTTGTGTCATGTGAAAAAGCATATAGTTATCCTGGGGCCTATTCCCTACTACTGCCATGCGGCTTCTTGGGTTTGGCGTATCTGGAATATTCAGGAGAAATGCAAACACGCAATTAATGCCCACCATTTCGGTGCAACTGAGTTGTTAAGCGACGTTGTTGTCTGATTAGTTGGAGGGAACTTTAGTTTTCAGTGATTTTTCGTACATATATTTTTGTATTGATAATAGCAAGTTTACGGATCGGACTTTCTGAGTAGACCTGCTTGAGTTTGACGGCAGGTCGGGTGTCGCATGGAGTATCGAAAAAGATTGAATAAAAGACTAGTCTAATTTTTTTGATGAGCCCGTTTCAAAATTTAGACACCGTAGTCGCTTAGAGCGTTGGATCCAAATTAAATATTGGGCTTAAGAAATATCGTTGACTTGTACTCCATGACGTAAGTATAAAGCTACCAGAGATTAGAATTAGCCCCCGTTGACTCGCCAGTATCGGACTGCACACGACAGGCCTTTTACAACATCTTGATCGAAAAGGTCTCGGGTTCAGTCAAGGGCGTACATTTAATCTTTATTTGGACTTTGATTCAAGCCATTGTCCCTGTTGTATAGATCATAATATATCTATTTGAGTCTGGGCTCCCGTGATGTCTACTACCTGGGTTAAAATCGTGACATTGGAGGCGTTGGTCATGTTCGCATTCAAAACTGAATGAAATAGAAGGGATAGATATGTAGATGTGCTGAGTGATCAAGAACAAGCATTAGTTGTGTTCGTTTCATGTTCGTATGAAGCTTGTCCCACTGTTGAGGAAAATTAGCGAGTATCCGTCGACCTATCGGCCTGTGTTAAGGGGTTGGGGCGAGATACAGAACTCTAGAGCCAAGGAAACGATCCTGTCGATGACTCGAGATAGCCAGGTTGGTGACTCAAACTCGCCATAGGCCAGGCCTTGGATGAATGAATAGTTGTTCATGACGGGCACAAGCCAAGCACTCATATAGTATGACACGGAGAAGGCTAGTCCTTCCCCGACGACTAAATACGACGATAACTTAGTTTGACATTTGGACTATTCATGTGGTTGATGCATTAGCTAATACCACTCGAGACCTTTGTGCTTGGGGCTTTCAGCCTTCCCTCAACCGTTAACATCCACCAAAGGGAAAATAGGAAAAACCTTTGGCTACTCTAACACGCCTTTGTCATTTGTATACAGCCGTCGCGCTAGATATGACTGTTAAGGGTTTAATCTGTCAATAACTCTGAGCTTGATGATGGCTAGCAAGACGAAGAATATCATGACCTGTCATTTAAGTTAAAATGGCGAAAAAATATAAGTTTTAATGTAAGATCCACATAAAAAGGGGTGATTAGCTCAGAGTAGGTACGGGCATTGTGAATGTAGTCGGAAGCGTCATCATATTGAATGGGAGTCAAGTGCTCGATATATATATACACATGCCCTATCCCTGTCAACGATGACCAAACCCCGCACTGTCATTAACACCATCAATATCTGCTATCCATCGCAATCTAGAGTATCAATATGAGTTACTACTGTTTTGTATGTTTGTACGGGTCGATAGACGACTTTTAATCCGCCTCGACAGCGACCAACCGTGGCGCAAGCTCTCAACCGAAAGCGCACGGCAATAACTAGAGGATGAGGCGGAGTGCATCGCGGGTGACTCCAGATCGTTCCGCCAAGCCAGACGGAGTAAGGGCATGGCTCCCGGATGCGGCTCTGAACCTGGCGAATGTCAACACCAAACTCGCAGAAGCTTCCGACCTTGTAGCCTTTCGGATGGCGAACGTACCCGCGACCCTCAAAACACTCACCCTTTCAGCTAGGGTTGATGCTCAGTGGATCTCAGACGAGATCAACTTCAAACCCTACCTGACGCCAATCTAGGTGCGACCACATGGGATGCCTCATCCTGATGCGCCGTACAGAAACTGTGATGAACGGTTACCTCGGGCTTCCGCCTCTTCAACAATTCTAGAAAAGCTGTAAAGCAGCAGTCTTGTCGCAAAATTCAGCAGTGTTATCGCTACCTCGGCTTCCATGCCACTCGTGGCTGATCTCGCGCTCCGGCCTACCTGAACTGCGGTTCAACAATGTACTCTTAAAAGTGTGAGGCCTCCACTAGAAGTAGGAACTGTGGAGGACCTCGCCGATCCTTCTCACGGGATCGTCAATTAAGGCCCAAAAAGTTAGGTCCGGTGGAGAGAAAGCAGCTGGAAGCGATTCGCTGAGCTGAGCTCATATTGTTTGCAAAAGCAGCCGATAGGGCAGAGGAGGCGATAATTGCCTCAACCAAGGACATCTCCATTGCGGAGAGATCGGGCTTTTGTTACATGATCGATGTGTGAAAGTAATTCAATTAATCCTTAGAATATTAAGCTAAAGAGAGAAGAAAAAATTATGAAAGTCGGGGGACCTGCCCCAAATTATATACAAAGAATGTGGGTAACATGATGGAATTGGCGGGGAACATCGCCTTTATGCCTCAGGCCACCCTCGTCATTAGCATCGTGACGAATCGTCACAGCTTTGGAGTTCTGGAGTCCGAAGAAGAAGTTTGAGGAGCCAGCGACATCAACAACACACACACACACACATTAAAAATGTTTCCTCAATTAAAACTGCGCCTGATCCTGGTAGAAAAGGGTAGATTTGATGTTTAGTTGGCTAATGACTTCGGTCGCTAGTCGATAAGGTCCAGGCAAGGAATTAGGACTCATGATTAAGCGTAGATTCCTGGAACACCGAACACCATGATCTTCTGAAGAGGAGCGTCAGGCATGAGCCACGTAGAATTTGCCGATGATTAGGGAACATAATTGACCTTCCATCTCATATAGAATGCTCTGTTCTAATCATTTATGTGCTAGGTACATGACACACGCACTCCTACTGGAGCTTAAGCACGAGTGGGGCCGGGATGGGTCAGGTTAACTACCGTGAAGTACTAATATACGTCGTCCCACCCAAATGAACGGACCACCTCAGACCTCACCCATGTGTTGAATCATACCAAGCCCGACCTTCTAGAAACCCGCTGTATATACGCCGTAGCGCAAATTCCTCGTCAGCCTCGGCCACCACGCGCCCGAGCCCTTGACATTCTCATTGACTCCGAAATATAAATACCGTCCAAGATTTTATCGTTGCTCTGGCCTTGCACCTTTATATCGTACCGCTGGGTTGTTTTCACCATTAGGTATTTGTGTAATCTCCTCAGTGTATATTCCCTTTCTTTCCTCCTTTGTACACGCCCTGTTCCAATCATGACTTTCCTCACTAGGGCGTGTGTAGGTAGGTGGTGTGACGAATATGGAGGTGGGTCATAGTTGTAGAATCGGCTGAGAAATGCTTCGTCGCAAATATATAAGGGGTTTGAGAAATTTCAGATGGTTAAATACGACCCCCAGCCAGACCTAGGCCCATTCGTGAACCATATGCTGGTAGTGGTGAGTTTTTGTTCGACTTTCTTGCGGTGGTGAAATCTCTGCCGACTGATGTTTCGACAAAATACCAAGCACAACTCGTACAAGCCGAAAATCCATCAAATAAAATTCATCCCACCCTCCTTTGTATCTGAATCTCGGCTCTGGGAGAATTTTTCAGTCCGAGGTTCGTAGAGGACACTGCTGACAGGTGTTCCGCATTCGTCCTCCATCGTATCGAATGTTTTCTCGGACATGTAAGATATCCACCGTGTTGGTACTTCATACCCTGGCCTTTCTGTGTTAAAATAGCACTTCACGCACCCATGTGAATATAAATGCCCGCAGTAATACAAAACTCATGGTGCACGAATCTGGCGGGCAGATTTTCGGGATGGACGTGAGAGATATCAGGGTAGGTAGAGAAGATGAAACTAGGGCTGAACACAATTTTAGATTGGGGTATGCAAATTGAGCATTGTGCGCTGCACCACTTTCATTGCGAGAGTGCAGGCGATACTTCGACACTAGTATAGTTGGATAGTGCAGTGGTCCGCCTCCGGGTGGTGGTCTCCGGTATAGTTTAGGTAGCCTGGGCACCTACTCCACTTGGGAAGGAGACACCTAAGATCACATTTCGCGCGGAGAATACTAAACGGATAGGGGTATTTCTGGATAACCCAGGGTTTTTGAGATGTTCCCATGGGTGATTATTCACGGATGAGGGCTGACTTGGGGTGAAGATAGAGCCGCCAAAATTTCACAGTGGTGCTTGCAAACGAAGTCCGAAGTGTGAGTGCTCTAGATTTAAACTGAGTCATTTATTTATATTTTATCTCGGATATTGTGCTGTAGCTAAATAGCTTCACACAAATAAAATTGGTTTAAAAAATGAAAGCTTACTGGATACGAGCCAACGATCCCGCGCTTCAAGTGGGCTAGTTATTATTTCTTCTCTGGTCTTTTCCTGACGCGAGCCTAGATGATATACCACTAAGCCATGTAGCCATGAAAAATTCATAAGGTCGAGTCCAATCTAAAAAACGAATTCGTGTAATGAACAATGCTCTCTAATGTGAAGACCTTCAGAAAAGTCAGAAATTGATAACTCTTGAGAATTTATCCATCCAGGGCATCATATTTCTTAGCTTTATTGTTAACTCACACATCTATCCCTAGTGTCTGCCTCGCCAGATTTGTGTGCCACGATCTATTTCCTTCTGCAGAAAATGAAATGTTCACGGGTGCATGTTTGTAGGCCCGGGATCAAGGCGGCGAGAAATGTATCCATTGGAATGAGCTTGTAATAGGTGTTACTTTTTGATTTGAAGAGGCTCTAGGCGAGATATATCTTGTTGGAAGCGGAAGATTGACATGGTCAGGAATCCTACGTCATTGCCCCATGCATCAGCTTCTTTTGCATTGCGAAAATTTCCTTGGATGCATTCGGCTCTTCGCTCTTCCGAATCAACACCATGAGGGTGCTACACGTACTTTTAATTGAGCCTCACGCCCGAGGATTTTACCATACGAGTATGAAACCAACATACTAGTAGTTGAGAGTTAGCACGTGATTCACAAACTTTATCCTGATTTGGACTCAACTTTTGTGTCTTATTTAAATTTTTCTAGCTATGGGTAGTGAAGAATAGCACTTTCCGCCAATAGATTTCATTTCAGATTTATTCTGAAGCCTGAATGGATAAAAGTCGTGAGATATAACCCGCACATCATGTTCCTATGCTTAGCTCTTAGCCACACTGGTACAGTATCGACCAAGATCCTTCTACTGTAATACAGTGCCTTGTCGTGGATGGATGCTTGATGACCTGTAATTTGCGGACTTGGATTTTTGAGGACACTTTAACCAGCCATCTACTATTTCCATTTCTAGGCTATCAATGACGTATCTCGAGGTTAACTTCCTCATGATTTTGTAGTATAACGAGTGAAAAATTAACTTGATGTTAAATCGCTTTTTCCCCTTAAGCATTTGCTCTTTCTTCTTTTCTAAAATTTTCAGATTTTCCCTAAATTTTGGAACACTTTTAAAGATAAATTCATAAATCAGCTTTCCATTAAATTCCTCATTTCCCACACTAGTCACCAGATACCAATCAATAGATTTCCCTATCCGAGGCCGAAAAAGATGTAGATAGCCTTGATACCAGACCAACGCATACTTTGGAGAGGTTTCCCAGCCGATAAAAGCCTTTGACTGCCAAAAGTCTTGTTTTACTCGAGTAATGTAATTTGATTTGATTTTCTGTCCATCTTTGTTTTTGCTTGTTATTGGAGCAAAACAGCTAAGATCTCCAGTGACATGCAACAGTCCTTCAGAGGAAAGTCGAGCGATTTCTCCTGATGAACATCTATCGCTCCTCAAAAGATCATGCATTTCGATGATTTTGTGTTCGTATATTTTACGCTGTGGTAGGCCGGCCATCAATTTCTGGAACGTATCTTTACATCTATTGTATTTCGCATCGTCTTTGCTAAATTTCAAATCTGTTACGCTTTCCAGCTTTCTTAGACCGCGAGAGATTTCATTCATGATTGTATTCATGTCGAGAGTGGCCGAACAGTAGGCAGTTAGTTGTGTATTTTTTCTTGATTTTTGGTGTTGAAGAATGATAATATTCTTACTCTTTGGAGTCGGATAGTGTTGTGATTGCGGCATATGAAATACTCCATAATTGGGACCATCTTTATTTCCTACTAGAACCATCCGACTTGTGGGTGTTTGCAGATCTGGTATGTAAAGAAGAAACGCAAGAACGCAAGTAAAGCCCGCCATTAGAGATGCTGCTCGAACTTTGATATGTTTATACGTCCGAATTAAGAAGATTTTCAATTTTGTGTCGTGGCCCTAGTTGAATTATTGCAGATATACTTGAGAAGAGCTCAATGGGATCGAAAAGGAATGGGGCAACCCGGTTGAATATTTCAAAGTCAGGAAGCCAGTTTTCATCGCTAGACAGATCGGACGAAAATCATTTAAAACACAGATTTGATGTCTACTAAATAATAAGAGCTATTTTACGTATCGATATTTCAAATTCTTTTGTGGCCAAGTATTTCATAATGTGAACATTGAGTTATCTGAAACTAAAAATAGTTCCTAATGACTCGCACGTGCACAGTTTGAGCGACTCTCGCCCAGATTCGTCAGAATTAGACGGTATACAACAGTCCTGTCTCTACAAAACGATTGAGATAGTTTCAAGTTCAATCAAGGGTGTGCATCTAATCTTTGATTCGGACAATGATTCAAACCCTTGTCCCTATTGTATAGATCATAATACGTGTATCTATTTGAGTCTGAGCTCCGTGATGTCCACTAACAGGATTAAAATCGCGACATGCGAGGAGTCGGTTTTCTTCGCATTCAAAACTGACGAACATGAAAGGGAAAGAAATTTAGTTGTTAATTGATTATATTGTAATTTCCGAGTCTTTAACAATATTATGACATGCAGGTCTTCTCTGCCTATAGGCCAAGGATGCCTATTCCAGTATTGTAGCCCCTCCTATGCCTCCCATACAGCTCCCCTCAAACAGTATCACCCCTCACAAGTCCTCATTCGATCATACACTAAGAGGAGCCCTTTGCCCTTCATTATCTCCCCTCTCCAGCCAACGAAACGATGGCCATTTGCGGGTGTGTGGCAGCCGGGAAAAATCGCTAAAATCACTGGCTGCGGGGCTCTCCTAATACCGACATTAGGACTAGATCCGAAGACATAGTGATCCTTCTGATGCGTTCGAAGAGGTCGGCCAGCTGGACGCTGCAGACTTGTGTGTACCTCGTGAAATTCACCCTCTGCCTTTCTAGCCTCTTTCCAACTCCTTCTCGAAGGTCGTGCTGAAATCTCAGAAAAGTCTTGACAGAGCGTGATTGCTGTACGGTAGCTTAGCCCAACTTCTTTTGTGCCGTCCAGGGCGCTGGGGAGTGCTGTTGACTCATTGACAAAAGAAGCCCTACCGGCTAATTAGCCGAAATCTCGGTCTTGGCATCCACAAACAAACCAAAGTTTAAAACTCCTCGGAAATGTCAGTCCCAGTATGGTCATAAGAGACCTGTTCCCCCTCTTGCTCCACATTCTAGCCGCCTGTCCTTTCGCAAGTTGTTTTTCTCATTAGAGCAACAGTCCTCCACGAGCTAGGACTCTAGACTTTGTGAATTTTGACTTAATTTCCTCCTTGCGGGCATAAATAGCATCGTAAATCTATAGTGGGAGATTGCTGGTAATTAATGGGGCAAGCTCCTGTTTGCCATTGAAGCAACTCCGTTATCGATCGTTGAGGCGATATGATGTATGGTTAGGAAGCGGTTGACGACTCAGATGAAAATAATAAGAGCGGCATTGTTGAGAGATAGTCAGATGGAGATTTGCTTGTGTTTGCTTTCGACTTCGATTCGGATGCGATTTTTCTCGGCTATCCCAGATACGCAGAGCATACTCAGCGATTACGCCGGCACTATTGGAAGGTGAAGAATTCGTCTTTGCCGAATGAGAAAGATATTCAGATGGGCTCAATTATCAAAGACAGGCATTAATTGTGATTGTTTCACAGTCGTATGATGCTTTTCTGGCTGTTGAGGAAGTTTAGCGAGCGTCCGTCGACCTGTCAGCATATGTTACGGGCTCTGGGCGAGATGCAAAACTCCAGAGCCAAGGAAGCTGTCCTATCGACCACTGTGTCCAAAGTCTTGACGGAAATGTAGATCCGTGAGACTCAAAGAACTAAGTATCTATTGGTACAAATATCATACGCCTTCTCTGATTATGTTTGTTATAGACTAGTCATTACTAATCGCGAGTATTTTAAACTTTTGTAGCATACTAAAACAGACAAGAACCACCAACACAACCGCAGAAACGTGACACACAGTTTACGCCCTTTGCATCGCGTTCAAGCATCCCGACAGTTTCTAAGTAACGAGATGACAGGAGACCACTGTCAATTTTTGAACTAGCGATCGTGAAATTTTCACACAGAGCTAGTGGGTTGTTGGCATTTCAAGATGTACATGATTGCCAGGAATAATTTTTAAAGATGATAAGGAGGCTCTGTTTGCTTTCAACGGCCTCTTAGATCTGTGCATTGCTAGAGAGCTTGGTTGGATGGCCGGGATGGTGACTCGAACTCGTGTATGGCGACGTGTTGGTTTCAGCAAATATCTAACGTGAACTGATGATTCAGTAAGGGGAAAAGATGAATCATCGGCTTACGACAAAGAATGTTTATGTGCCTCTACTTTCAAAATAAAATGTGTTGTCATGACTCGTGACATTCTTATACTGGTAATCGCCGTAGACCCATGGATTGGATGCTTACTTTATTCAATAAAATAAGGGAAAGTTTGTAGAATTAGAAAGAACGCTTCTCTAGATGTGCTTGATGATTGCAGAAATTTACAACCTTAAAGTGCTTACTGCTCTAAGCGACAGAGGTTGCTGTCTGTTTTTTAACTATTTAAGGTGTACGCATCTATACAGCTTTGAAACATGATCAACGCATTTTTTAAATTCATGTTTTTTTCAGCTATTTAGCTATGACAATTAAATGTGATCAACGCATTGCGTAGGTGTGAAGTGACTCTTTTCACTTTAGACACTAGTACTCTGGATTTCATTAGCATTTCCCAATGTAAGGTACATATTTTTTAGAGGGAACAATCGGCCCTCCATCGTGAGTGCCCAACAAAGGGAAGTTTAAAATCTTTAATTATCCAATTTTTTTTTAAATCATTTAATGTGTATTCAGCTATGGAGTTATGACACATGACCGGTGCTATGTGTACACATTGGATGACTCTTTTGACGTTAGAAACACTCATGCTCTGGATTTCATTCGCAAATACCACTATGAGGTGTGTTCGCTTACACAAACAGTCGCCCCTCCTCCGTAAGTACCCAGCAAAGGGAATTTCAAAACCTTTGATTATCCAAGCATGCCTTTATCAATCTTGTTGGAATTGGTGCTTCCAATTATGGTAAAGACAGGGTTGTGTAGAATACACATTACTAATCTCCAATTAATTGTGAGGTTAGTATTAATGCGCTTTGACGTAAATACCAACCACTAGATTTTATTATTACAAAGTATAGTTTATACAGCACTATTTTTGCCAGAAAGCTGCGCAGTGTTCCACGCTGCCCGTATCCTCAATTTGAGATCGTGATCATTATTTTTACATCTACATTACCCTTCTGCCATTTGTTCGCTTTCCGTGCTTCAACATGGCGAGTGTGGATGCTGGTGTGGGTAAATCCAGCGGTTTCGACGCGTCGCAAAATGCGAAAACGGCATCATCAAACAACGGCAGCGGAGCGCAGATAGCTCCAAAGGGTCCTAACTTGGAAACAATAGGGAAACTATCAAAAAAGGTTAGACTAATAGTGATGGGAGAGATAGATGAGGACGATTTACCCACTATGGAAGACGTAAATGAAGCCGTCAAGGCATTCTATTATCACAAGAAGGCTTGGAAAACGAGGTCCTAGATCCCATCTCCGATCGAGGAGAAGATGATAGCGTTGGAGGAGGTAGTAAAGAAAAGCATCACGGACGCCGCGCGACAAGCAGCTCCTGTTGTGTCGTCAGGGAAGCCGCTACAAAGGACCTACGCGTCGATCGTAGTTCCGCAAATGGCGAAAACGGCGGTCAGAACAAGAATCTACGGCGCATAAGACTTGCAGCCACAAGAGCTGCTAACAAAGGCACAACAACATATCCAAGGCGCATACTCGATTCGCCAAATGCAAAGCAACGACACTGTGGTGTTCGTCCAGTCGGCGTCCCAGAGAGACGCGGCGCTCAACATGCGTCAACCTAACGAATTTAAGATACTACGGCAAGATTTTCCCGTCGAGGTTTCTGGTGTCCCTTTGCGGACTCGAATTGAGGGTGGCAGAGATGCCCAAAACCATGCTATCATCAGGGAGATTGAGATAGCAACTAAGGCTCGAATTCTCGGCCTAGTGATTAATCGAATCAGGTGGCTACACGATGGAAAGGAGCACCAGCGATCGAGGAAAAACGGTCGCAATCGAGGATCAATTGTGGTCAGCCTCCCATCAGAGGTAATACAAACGGAGGTGGTTCGACAGGGCCTTCTCATCAATGCCATGCTCTTCACCTCTCAGGTGTGGTCACTACGAGCTCAGCTAAAGCATTGTTATAACTGCAGCCGGTAGTGACACACGCAGGCGTCGTGTGGAAAGGCAGCTAGATGCGGCGAGTGCGTAGGCGTTCACCGAACTCGGGACTGTCGGAAGAAAAGGGATTCCTGTGCAAATTGCGGCAGGGAACACGGTTCGTGGCAAAAAGCAGCATGTCGGACTTACCAAGTCTACAAAGGAAGTGTGGAGAAGGCTCGGATAGAGCTGCTATCGAGAACGGCGGAAATATGGAATGAAAAACCAACAATGGCGCCAATACGAACAGTCGGACCAACTGATGAGCAGGGATTCACTTTGGTCACCAGTAAGAGGGCTGAGGGACTCAAAAGAGGGTCAGGACGATCACGTAAGGTAGTCGAAGCCCCAGTGGCACCAATCATCGCCTCGACAGTAGCACCACCATCGGGGCCAATCCTTGGAACAGTTCGACGACCAACGCCGAGTGAGGAGGTGCCTTCTCTATTTAATTTCTCTCAACGTTAGTCTGATTGAAGGGGAGTCAATGAATTCTGGGGAAATTTTATACAATTGTGGTTGAAAGTAACGGCCTCAGCATTAAGCCGAGTCGGTTCGGAGTGGCAGGATATCGGGTTTTGTTTGTTGAAAA